GGCCTCCATTTAAAGGAGACATATTATACCCTATTTCAACAAGTTAAACTAGTTCCCTGGTGTCCTAATGTAATATCTGTGACAAGCTTTGGTCAAAATCCCATAAGGATGAAGCCCAATAGCAGTTCAATCCCACTGCCTAACCCTAACCCTAACCCTAACCCTAACCCAAAACAGCCCCGTTCAGAGCGCTCGCTTTGGAGTGCCTGTCTCTTTAAATGCAAATGAGAACACAGGCAATCCACACACTTCTTCCGGGAGGTGTGCCCACGTTGCATGTGAGCATGCAGGTTTACCAAAATACAGACAAAAATCAAGCTAGTTGTGGCTTAAACCATGAAACTCAAAACAGTAACTTCAAGTCCCACCCTACACAAAGCCAATGGTGGCCGTGGGGGGAGAGGGCTTACGGGTAATTAACGGCATAAACTTTGTGTAAATCTCTATAAAACATCACAGCAGGGAAAAAATATGGCGAAGTCTGCAGCAGCTGGCTTAAATTAACCTCACAATACAAGTTTCATGTTCATCTCGCACACATTGTCAAACAATAACTACGTTAGCTATCATGATAACGCTAACGCTACCATGCTAACGCTCACGCTACCCCGACGTCTGCCACAGATAGGGGAGTAAGCTGAGGGGGGGGGGCAACATGCAGGTGAAAGGCTGGAATATTATAATGAGCTAGAGCTAATGACGTCAGAAACTACCCACTCCTGAAACCTCCTGATTTATCTCCTGGATTCAGACTGGGGCAGCCCACAAAAAATTTTTCACACTTTGCCTGCTGATAGGCCCTCCACAGTCCCAAATGTACATAATCAAATGATTAAAAACTTGGTTTGGCATAATATGTCCCCTTTAAACATATAAACGGGTGAGTCCTACCTTCAACCTCCAAGTACGTTGCGCTGCGAATCACCGGGGATTCGCTCAGATAATGTCCACAGAAGTGGAGCCCGGAGTCTGACTCCCGGGCCCGTCTGATCCTCAGGAAGAGGGTGGAGCCGTTGGAGCTCATGTCCAGGCGCTGGTCTGTGAGGCCACAGCCTGAGGCGGGCGAGGAGGCGCTGAACAGGAAGGCCAGGCAGACGGGCCGGGCCCTGCCCACCCAGAACCACACGATCTGGGTCGGCCTGCTGGAGAAGTTGGAGCACAGCAGCGTGGCGTCCCCGCCCGGCCGGACCCTCACGGCCTGCCGGTCCGACCCCGGAGCAACGACCCCAGCTGACACAAACAGAGACATGAACGGAGGGCCGACTCCCCCAGAGACTCCTCCCATCCTCCCTACATACCTGTGTCACTTCATGTCTGTAGCTAACAGTGGTTACAACTCATACTCTTCAGGTCGTGTTCTTTACACCATTCCCAGGATCAACAAAGATCAAACACAGATCTTGGCAAAACATCATTTTCTTTGCAGCACCATGGTCATGGCACAATATTCAAAACTACCTGCAATTGGGCCACAGCGTAGCCTAATGGTTACAGCAGGTCCCCCCCTCTCTGTATCTGCCCCCTTTCCTGTCAAGCTGCTGTCATTAACTCATTGGCTGCCAAAGACGTCTATAGACGTCAATTCAAATACAACCGTTGACTGCCAAAAGTCTATAGACGTCTTTTATGTTTTTCAACGAGAGTGGCTGGGGGACGATCGGCTAAAGTTTTTCTGTAAATATCGGCTTCTAGACAGAGTATGTAGTAACAAATTGACCCTTTAGGTGGCAGTGCCACTTTTGATGGGAGATGAGCATAGACTGTAGGCAAATAAGAAAAACTTAACGGTTCACTATGAGAGAAATGGCGCCGTTGAGACGCAAGTCGAGGAAGAACGGAATAAGGTAGAAACAAAAAATTTTTCCTGATGAAAGAAGAGAGAGTCTACTCTTGGTGTGTTCGGTGTCTACATAGTCATAGCACAAACTATTCTGTGGCTCTTGAAAAATCAGTCAAAATGCTCAAAAAACTCAGCAGTATGGGACTCTGTTCTGAAAATGGCTGCCAGTCAATGAGTTAAAGGCCACTAGAGCCAACAAAATCTTAAAAAAAAAAAAAAAACTGCAATTACGGACCCTTATTCCGTTACAGCATTTTAAATCACTATTGAAAACTGCTTGCACAGAGAATTGTAACTGTTACTCTAGAGTCTAGTTTATTATTGATTTTATCATGTTGTCCCGTGTTCTTAAATGTCTTACTGTACTGCTGCCTCTTGGCCAGGTGTCCTTCGAAAAAGAGATTTTATCTCAAGGGACTTCCTGGTAAAATAAAGGTTAAGAAGAAGAAGAAGAAGGTTAGCCGGAGCTTTTTCTACTTACTGATGCAGCAGATGCTTAAGGTGGAAATCAGGCTGAGGATCATTTTCATGCCGTGAGGCTCTAAAGACTCTAAAGTCTGACAGATCTGCAGCCTCTTTTTGATGCATACCTTTTTTCTACGCTTTCACTTCCCTTTTTCTGATTGCTACCTGGCTCCTGGTGTCTTTAAAAAGCTTCTTGCCTCGGCAAGAAAGAGGAAGCGAGCCCTTTTGTTTTACCTCTCTAAGGTTTTAGAGACGTAGAGACGGTTTTAGAGACGGTTTTAGAGACGGGGGGTTGAGCTGTCGGCCGTCAGAAGCCATTGGCTGATGGAGAGGCCCTGCAGGATGTGGGTTTGTGTCGGTGAGCGTGAAGCTGCAGTACGAACTGTGAAGCCGGGCTGTTAGCCCTTCAGCATGTTTTCTAACTGCTGTTTTCTGGCTTAAGCCAAAGGAATTCTCTCTCCAGCCTTCCTGGTTTTTTCATCCACGCTGATTAGATCTTCTGGAAGATGGAGAAACTTGTGCTGCATGCTTGCCATTTACAGTATTTGCTGCGTAGTTTGGACAACAGGAGCAAATAAAGATGTTTCATCTGTTAAACTGGGAAGAAAACTTTGGTGGAGCTGGTCATTTTCCATCAAAC